AATAACAGATTTTTATTTCAAAATGGCTTTTTCATTTTATTTCATAATGCCCTTTTTCATTTCATAATGAGAATTTATTTCATGATGTCACATTTATTTCATAATGACCCTTTTATTTCATAATGAGACTTTTGTTTCATACTGAGACTTTCCTTTCATGTCACACTTATTTCATAATGACACTTTTATTTCATAATGAGACTTTCGTTTCATAATGACACTTTTGTTTCATACTGAGACTTTTGTTTCATACTGAGACTTTCCTTTCATGTCACACTTATTTCATAATGATACTTTTATTTCATAATGAGACTTTTATTTCATAATGAGACTTTCGTTTCATAATGACACTTTTATTTCATACTGAGACTTTCATTTCATAATGTCACACTTATTTCATAATGATACTTTTATTTCATAATGAAACTTTTATTTCATAATGTCACTTTTATTTAATAATGACAATTTTATTTCATTTTAATTTCATTTCCACGTTGGCTGCTCACACATTCAGGCCAAAGCAACAGGCCAAAAATCAGTCATTATATGGCCTGTGCTCTTTTCTATTTGAAGCGCTGGGAAAATGTAGGCGTCATGACTACATGGCTAAGAAGACCATTTCTGAACTTCTCAGAGAGACTGCCGACTGAACGTCTGAATGGCATGCCTTTTCCTCAGTCTCAAAGACTGTTGCAATAGCACCCTGTCCCTGCTGAAGTCTTCCATACGCACTTCCATATGAACACGGTGTTCAATCAGTCTTAACGAATGATGACTTCATCATCACTATCTCCTATTTAAGAAAGCTAGATGCACCAACACTAACAAAAATGTACATGCACCCACTGAACCATTTGGGCCACCAATATACAGTACGCACATGCTATCTGGAATATACTTTACATGTGCCACAGAGTGAAGCCATGGTACTGAAGTATTACAAATGAAGCCTAGATAGCTAATGTTAAAAGAAAGGGTCTTGGATGCACTTTGATGCATCTGACAGGAAAGCTTTTCTTTCCTCACTCTTTTACTCCATCATCCACAAACACAGGAAATGAATAACAGAAACATAACAAACCAATCACAAGTGTGGTCCCTGAGTGGTAGTGTCCTAGTGGCCTGCTACCCGGGGTGTGTGTGTGTGTGTGTGTGACCTTTTAAAGAACATGTGTGAGAAAGAAGGGAATGTGAAGAACAAAACTAAAATGACCATGCAGAGGAAAGGGTCTCCAGGAAAATTCTGGAAATTCCTAAGTTTTCGTGTCTTTATTATAAATAAAAATCTTTTGGGAAGTGTCATCTTACAGTATTTTTAGTGTATCTACTTCTTATAGGAGCATGGAATTGAATACTCTTCAAATGCTGCTGGTCCATTTGCATTCAAAACTATTATAAATCACCATTCCAATACAACTTAAGGTACTCATGAAGCCCATATGCCAGCCAAATGGATGATTTTAATGCCCTCAAGCTAAAGCAGTACTTAAATTTGCATCTCTAATACTGCTATTACAGCAGGGGTGTCAAACATATGGCCTGCAGACTGGGACTGGCCCAGGCCACAAAAGAAATTTATAATCTGTGTTCTAAAATAAAATCATTCTGTGGGCCTTAATTGAATTGAAAGATTAAAAAAAAATTTATTTCACCAGGGAGCAATATAGAGCAATACGCTAGGGCCATAAATTCAGCTACAGAAAATGTGCTAATGATATAGAATTCTGCATTGTGACCTTGTCCACCATTCTACTCTCAGGGACCTCAGGTCAGCTAATCAGTCTCTCCTGTGACTTCCCCAGTCCCGGCTTAAGGGAAAAGAAGATTGGACCTTTTCTGTTACTGCCCCTAGGCTTTGGATCTCATTGTCACTCAACACTGGGTCTGGCTGATCTGTTTGCCCCTTTCCCCCTTTTAAGCTTTAATCTTTTACTGTCCCCTCTTCTTAATCTCTTTCTATTTTATGCATTTGATTATTATTATTATTTTACTTCAATGTGATTTTATTTTATTTATTATCTTTTAAAATCTCAATAATCTTCAACATTATAGGCTACATTGTTTACATTCAAGACATACTACAGTATATAGTCCCTATACATAGGGGCATAATATACTGTATATATAATTTTTTACTTTTTATATCTCAGAAATTTTCTAAAATCTGACTGTGGAAACAGCTTGTTGATGAGAGAGGTCAGAGTAGAATGTCCAAATTGGTTCAAGCTGACACGAAGTCTAGAGTAACTCAAATAAGCACTCTTTCCAACCACCTGGTGAGCAGAGCAGCATCTCAGAATGCACAACACATCAAACCTTGAGGGGGATGAGCTACAACAGCAGAAGACCACATCAGGTTCCACTCCTGTCAAAAACAAGAATATGAGGCTATCATGGGCACAGACTCACCCAAACTGGACAGCTGAAGACTGGAAAAAGACCAGAAGATTTTTTTTTTTTTTTAATTAATCTTCAACTGTCTACTTTCGGTGAGTCTGTGCTCATGATAGTTTCAGGTTCCTGTTTTTGGCTGACAGGAGTGGAACGCAATGTGGTCTTCTGCTGTTGTAACCCATCCACCTCAAGATTTGATGCTTTGTGCATGCTGAAATGCTTTTCAGCTCACCACAGTTGTAAAGAGTGATTATTTGAGTTACTATATCCTTCCTGGCAGCTCAAACCAATCTGGCTATTTTCCTCTGACCTCTCTTTTCAACAAGGCGTTTCCATCCACAGAACTGTCACTCACTCAGTGTTTTTTGTTTTTTTGCGCCATTCTATGTAAACTCTGGAGACTGTTTTATGTGAAATGCCCAGGAAATCAGCAGTTTATAAAATACTCAAACTAGTCCTTCTGGTACCAACATCCATGCCACAATCAAAGTCACAGAGACGTTTTCTTCATTCTGATGTTTGGTGTGAATATGAATAGACGCTTTTGACATGTATCCGCATGATTTTTTGCATTGTGCTGCTGCCACATGGCTGGCTGATTAGATAACTGCAGGTGTCAAGGTGTTCCTAATAAAGTGGACGGTTAGTTTTTTTAAACCTATTTCTAGATTTTTTAGATTTTTTTAAGCTCATGTTTTGTTGCAGATAATTTTGAGCATTTATTAAGCATTATGCATTTATTTCTAGAAAGAAGCAAAAATGTGTGCCAATAGAATAAGAAAATATAAAGCTTGAAATTAGTAAAACAGTAAAGAGGGACTAAATCTGGAATGTGATGTTAAAAAAGCACATATGGGTGTGATGGTAAGGTGTCCACAAACTATTGGGCGTGTAGTGTATATACTGACTGAGCAAGTGCCATACAACTCTGTATAGAAGTGTAGCTTTAGGATAGTTAAATTGTACTCTAATTTACTCAACAGTATGAAACAGTGGCACAGTCTCAATCAACAGCTGCTGCATGAGTCTATTCTCTGTGCACTTACTAGTGGGCATTAAAACTTTAAACCCTTTGTGAACTTGCTGGAGAGAGTCCTGGCTGTGATTTGAGTGGTGCTTTCACTTGCAACCGGTTAGCAGAATTTACTGAAACATATGGCTGGTGATCTACGCATTTTGTGTAACACTACCTCGATCTCTCTTGCTCATTTTCCCCCCAATTTTGGATACCACTTCTTTCTGATATCTTCCCCTTCCCATATCTTAATCCCCACATCTAGAATGTCTCTTCTTTTCTCCCACAGTCTGAAAAGACAGTGGAATTATCTGGTAGGATTAGGAAAGAAAGAAAGGTAAATTGTCTTATGGCTCAAAGTGGTGACGTGTTTCTTTAGCCTTAAAAATAGCCAGTATGACAAACAGACACAGACATGCCCATTTTTCTATGTACTGGTTTATGCATATCTCAGATCTCTGAATGTGTGTACTTAAGATTCAACAGAGTCAGGCTGAGCACCAAAGCAATTAGGACTTATACATGATATTCTGAGCAGGAATTATCAGCCATATGCCAAACCATTTGATATTATTTTGCCTGAGATGGTCCTTTTTATTCAGCTCCTGTTCCCATATAACTTGCATCTTAGCATAAGTGTGAATGTGATAGCAGACGTGAAGACGTCTATCTTTCTTGCTGTGATGATTGGAACATTTGCTGTAATGGCTTATCAGCCTCATGGCATAGGAGAGAAGAACTCAAAGTGTTCGGATTTACATCACCATAGATCAAACTGCATTTTTCTGGCAGATTCTATAATTCCTTACACCAGAGAAAGAGTGGTGTTCAAGATACACCATACCACAGACAGATGATTTGATTCATTTTTATTTGTGTTAATAAAAGACTTGCTTTTATTGATGAGGGTAAACCACGAAACAGTGTAGGGTGTGGGAGTTATGAATTTTGTAGCTGGGTTCACGGTGGTGAGCAAGGTTAATACTGCTAGCTTGATATATATGTGGACTCTTAATTGATAGTCATTAGCCTTTGTGTTTGACAAAGTGATGCTTCGCTGATGATGTTTTGAAACTGAAAGTACCCACATAGCCATTCTGATTTTCATTATTTGCTACAGCTATAAATCTAAATAATACTTCACGTTATGCATTAATCAGATATGACAAGATGTATGGACAAATAGAGACTTATCTTACTCAAAATTTCAACAAATCCCATAATCATAATGTGTTTTGATTGCATCTCCTTCACTCTCATACCTCATCACTCATGCCTTGATGCCTGCAGTAATTTTTCATACACACACACACACACACACACACACAGCCAGTGGCTAGTACAGCTGCCTTGTGCATTCATTGACGACTTGTTTAGATACTGATTGTATTTTAGATTAGATTAGATTCAACTTTTTGTCATTGTGCAGAGTACGAGTACAGAGTGATGTTAAAAAAAAAAAGAAGAAGCAGTTTTTCACATATCCCAGCTTGCTAGGAAGCTGGAGTCAGAGCACAGGGTCAGCCATGATACAGTGCCCTTAGAGCAGATGTGGGTAAGGTCCTTGCTCAAGTGCCCAACAGCAGCAGCTTGACGCTGCTGGGGCTTGAACCCCCAACCTTCGGATTCGTAACCCAAAGCGTTAACCACTCAACCACCACTGCCTACTGCTTAATGTTGATTTTATCCCATTGGTTATAAAATTTGTCAGCACTCTTCTAACCTGTCCATCAGTGGAAATGAACTGCTGCTGACCAAATGTAAAAGAGAGAAACTACATTTACAGTTATGTTTAAAAGTATTGATTTACAATAGATACAAATTAGGTACCTCGGGATTGCAGATTAAGCCCATTTTACACTATAAGTGTATGTATAAGTGTATGTACTATAATATGTATGGCAGGTTGAAAACACTTTCATTTTACACTAGTGCTACTTGTGAGTGGAGCATTCACTTCTTTTATCATTCACTGGTTTAGTAAATATAAGGTCAAAATATTTGTACTGTTCATTAGTCCAATGAGATTATCATTTCTACACTGTGATAGTTTCAACATTCTACAGTAGGACTACAGGAAAATTGGGTATCCATTCATTAATGCTTACAGATGTTTCTGTATTAAAATTAGCAGAAGCACAACCCCTCTACTGGATAAATAAAGCTCAATTTCTTCTTCTTGGTCTTTCTTCTCTTTCAAGGTTGTCTACCTGAACCAGTCCTCACTATCTACCACACCACATCATGGTGGTGCAGCCTGCTATCTCACTCTTATTGGCCGTGCTGGCGTGCAGCGGGCCGGCCTGGTCGTCCCCTCCGCTACTGCTCCGCCCCCGGGAGCGAGAGAGGGACTCGGGCGGGGCTTCGGGCGGAGTCAACATTGCCGTGGTCCACTCGGGCTCCTCCCACCTCCCGGAGACGAGTGTAGGGGTAGGGGGCACCTTGGCGGCAGGTGCAGGCACAGCAACAGGAACAGGAGTGGGCACAGGCTGGTCGGGGCAGGTGGGCGAGAGTGTGATGACACCATGGGGCCCAGCCAATGTCATCTGGCTGGCAGTAAACGAGAGCAGCCCAGGGAGCCTGCTGCTGCAGCTGTGCGAGCTGCTGGCCAGCACACCACTGCAAGGACTTGTGTTCGAGCAGGAGAAGCCGCCACCGCCTGAGCGTGCCCCACTGGCACCTGTGCTTGAGTTTGTCTCAGCACAAACCGGTGTGCCCATCATGGCCGTGGGAGGTGGAGCTGGGCTGGGCAGAGAGCCACAGGTAAGATCTTAGTATGCACCTATTTATCATAAACATAGCATAGCAGAACAGAGATTCCTCATGATTCATCATAAAATAATACATTTCTAACCGCTGTTGAGGTTCTGTCCAGACAGTTCTGGAACGTTGGTTTCATGGAGACTTTCAGGAAGCTGTACATGCTGCACACAGATTTTGAATCCTCCTTTTCATTGAAAACAATTAAATTATTGTTTTTTTCATTCCCAATTCTTGATTTGTTCTAAATATGAATATTAACCAGTGCTAATGTTCCTTTGAACTACAGTATTATACTATATTTCTCGGGAGTAAATCGTTTTTGTATACACCTTTCTCATAATTGCACTATTTGTCCATGAAGTACACAGTTATAGAAGGGATTTATTTATAACTATCCGTTGTCATCCAGATGCAGATGGGTTCCTTTTTGAGTCTGGTTCCTCTCAAGGTTTCTTTCTCATGTCATCTCAGGGAGTTTTTCCTCACTACCGTCGCCTCTGGCTTGCTTATTAGGGATAAATTCATACATTTACAATTTCTTTCCTGAATGTATTTAATTCTGTAAAGCTGCTTTGTGACAATATCCATTGTTAAAAGCGCTATACAAATAAAATAGAATTGAATTGAATAATGTCTAAATTTTCACAATTTCTGGTCATAGCATTGTTCACATTGTCAGTTATAGCAGGCTAGTAGAATCGTGATGTGTATTTAACAGAAAAAACCCCCCAGGAACCCACAAAAGCTGAGACTGGTGGGGCCAAACCCTTGTTTATTAGGTCCACACAAACAGAACCAGCACATACAATATCACCGTCTGAGGTGCAGGTTTTTAAACATAGACTTGCACGCAAGGTTCATAACATGGCCAATAGATAAGACAGGAGAATTATGGAGAAGGACCGATATCGCACCAAAATATGCGAGAAGAGAGAGTCCCGTAGAAAATACACAAGATCAAAGCAGTAAAAAAATTAAGCATTCATATCAGCATACAAGTTCACTTCTTCAATAACTTTAAATGTGACTAAATGTGACTAGAAGCCCTCCTTGGCTTCTTTGTGTGTGTCTGGACTTCAATTGCACTAGGGTGCCTGGAAATAGAAAACCGTGTCATGGGACTCAATGGGTTTTCAGTGACTTGTCAGTTTTCATGTTTTCTTTCACATTTAAGTCAGCTGGATTTTTCACAAGGTGAATTTTACTGATATTCTGTGTAGCTGCTCCATTATGCATATTCCACCATAAGTGCGAATAATACTGCCTAATAAATTAATGGAAAAATAGCACAGGCTGCTGACTGTGATGAAACTTTGTGTCCTATTTTATATCCAATTTTGTGTTATAAATAGGTGAAACAAATTTCTTGTATTACTGTTTGTATAACCTGTGGAAGGAACTTCTATGTTACAATGAATGAATGAATGAATGAATGAATGAATTAAAATGAATTAATTGCAATTTACATATTTTTAAAAAATATGGAAAAAACAAAGGGAACTGAACTTGGAGAGTGACAGGAAAAGGGTGAGGGACAGTTGTGCATTTGCCTAGCCTCTCTCTTTAACACCATCTAGGTTTAGATGAGGGCTATCTCTTACTAGGAGACCAAAACAAAAAACAACAGGATGACAGTTTCCAAGTGAAAGGTTCCTTAAACTGAAAAATAATGTATTGAACATAATCTACATCTCCAACATCTACATCTACAGCATAATCTATTTATGTATACATACTGCACTTCCAGTGGATGTGTAACGCTCCAGTGCTTAATTCTTGCTGCATATTTATGTTAATAAGCATAGGTTTTTTTTTTTCTGTTATCATGGTGGAATATGTACATTGTACAGAGCCGCAGATAGCTGCACATTGCCAGAACATCGTGATCTGTCGGATATACTGTATCTCAAACTTGTTCACCACTGTGCAGCATGGGCTAGTTTGGAAGCACTCATGAATAAATCCTGTATAATTCATCATTGGACCTAGTGCCAGTTTGTCTGTTCGCTACAGGGTGCCTTTTCGTATTTCATGCATCATATATTAATGATTTCAGCCAAACTGAGATATCCAATGAAATGCAAATAAGGTTCTATTGATCTGCCTCTTTTATCTCTACTTCTTAATCAATACATTTCTCATACACTAACCATTAACCACGGTTTAAGCTTTAATGAACAGTCTAGAGCACTCTGTTGTGAATTGGCAGATGTGGAGGTTACTCAAGCTCGAGCGGGGCATCTCTCTTGAGGTTTACTTTGACTCTTCACAAAACTGCCAAATGAAGCATGGAGGAGCCGTTTAATTGGTTTAATTAGGACAATAATTAATTACATGATGCAGTTAAATACTTTTGTGGCTATGATCTTACTGTGTTAAACAGCATAATACCAGAACAGAAGGGAATAAGTTGAAGTTATGGGGCAGAAAGCCTGTTTAAGTCACACTGTCACACTTTCAAAATTAGATACATCAGGGCTTTGCCTCTAAATCAGATTATTAAAGCATGTAGTGGTCTTTTAAATATGATTACTGTATATTATTTTCCCCATCAGTTAACATTCAAATAACTTGTAACATTTTGAATGATTAGAACAGGTCTCACTTTCTCTACTGCAACTTACAGTATGTCCAACCTGTACTGTGCTATAACAGATACACATCTAGTTTATTTCAGAGGCTGTGAATCAAAGAATAAACCATTTATCAGTAGCTGCGTTTACATGGACAATAATAATCCGATCGTAATTGGACTAGAAGCACAATCAGATTTAAAAAGTCACATGTAAACACGTCAATCGGAATGAATTGGCCAAAACTGATTAAAATTTCATTCGGATCGTAAGGGGTGGTTTAAACCTTTTCTAATCCGATGGCGAGGACATGTAAACACTTCATCGGATTGAAAATGAAACCAGATAGTTCTGCGCATGTGCAATGACGTACAAATCACGTAATGACGTATGACGCACGGCTGTCAGCGGTATTGGGGCTCAGACCGTAGCCTCACCAGGTGCCATGGCCCCCTCCACCATTGAGCATAGTGTCATAAATGACTGTCGTGTCATCCTAAAATTCTCCTTCCACTCCTCGTCTGTGAAGTGGTGCAAGACGACGTTGTCCCACCAGTCCTTGCTTCAGACCCTCATCCACAGACGCCCTGTTCTGGGCTCGGGAAGGGGCATTTTAATTGCTTGATAAATACACGCAGTACCGCACAACACATCACGCGCTCGTCGTCTTCTCATTAGCAGCTGAAATAGGCAAATGTTAAGTCTGCTTTTTAAAACGAAAAAAAGAAGCAATGGCAAGAGAGTGGCTGCTAGTATCTGCATGTTGGAACGGCGGGAAACGTGTATTCATGCACTGTGCGCATGTCAGAAGATCAAATCCGATTCTGTCATGTAAACGCGCATATCAACCCGATTACTTTATTCAGCGTTCTTGTAAACACTGCGATCGGATTAATCAATCTGATTGATTTCATTCCGATTGAAACAAAAAGTGTCCATGTAAACGTGTCTAGTGATTCATTCATTCATCTTCAGTAACAACTTTATCCTCATCAGGGTTGTTGTTGTAGATCTGGAGCCTATCCTAGGAGCACAGGACACAAGGCAGGAATACACCCTGGATGGGATGTCAGTCCATCACAGTAGTGATTATAATCAGTGTGATGTGCTTGCCATGTTTCTTGTTAAAGTCCATTGCAACCTTCCAACAGCTTCCTGATCTAGCCATGAGAATGATTTCAATACGTTCTTCTTTTATCAAAGGGATTCTTAATGGCTATCTGAAAAAAAAAAAAAAAATATATATATATATATATATATATATATATATATATATATATATATATATATATATATATATAAAAAAAAACTACGTATGAAAAATTTTG